GCCCCCCCGGCTCCCCCAGCCTCTCGGCGCCCGCGTCCTCCGTGTCCGTGTCCGTGCGGCGCAGCTACGCCGCCTCGTCCGCCTCGGCGGTGGAGAGCCTGGACCTGAGCCAGGTGGCGGCCATCAGCAACGACCTCAAGTCCATCCGCAGCCAGGAGAAGGCGCAGCTGCAGGACCTCAACGACCGCTTCGCTAGCTTCATCGAGCGGGTGCACGAGCTGGAGCAGCAGAACAAGGTGCTGGAGGCGGAGCTGCTGGTGCTGCGGCAGAAGCACGCCGAGCCCTCGCGCTTCCGCGCGCTCTACGAGCAGGAGATCCGCGACCTGCGCCTGGCCGCCGAGGAGGCGACGAGCGAGAAGCAGGCGCTGCAGGGCGAGCGCGACGGGCTGGAGGACACGCTGCGCGGGCTGCAGGCGCGCTACGAGGAGGAGGTGCTGAGCCGCGAGGACGCGGAGGGCCGGCTGCTGGAGGTGCGCAAGAGCGCGGACGAGGCGGCGCTGGCGCGGGCCGAGTTGGAGAAGCACATCGACAGCCTGCTGGACGAGCTGGCCTTCCTCAAGAAGGTGCACGAGGAGGAGCTGGCCGAGCTGCAGGCGCAGATCCAGTACGCGCACCTCTCGGTGGAGATGGACGTGGCGGCCAAGCCCGACCTGTCGGCGGCGCTGCGCGACATCCGCGCGCAGTACGAGAAGCTGGCGGCCCGCAACATGCAGAACGCGGAGGAGTGGTTCCGCAGCCGCTTCACCGTGCTCAGCGAGAGCGCCGCCAAGAACACGGACGCCGTGCGCGCCGCCAAGGACGAGGTGTCCGAGAGCCGCCGCCTGCTCAAGGCCAAGACGCTGGAGATCGAGGCCACGCGCGGCATGAACGAGGCGCTGGAGAAGCAGCTGCAGGAGCTGGAGGACAAGCAGAACGCCGACATCTCCGCCCTGCAGGTGCGTGAGGGGCGCCTTCCCTCTCCCCAGCCGCTCCGCCGCCCCCGGAGGGTTGTTGGGGACTCCTTAGAGCCACTTCCTTGCAAAAACTTCACCCCCCCCAAAAAATTGGGGCCCTCTGGCGGTCACCCAGTTTGCCCTCCTCAGTGCTCCCCAAACTTTTCCTCAGCATGGCCCCTGCGACCCCATCTGCCACTCCATTTGCACCCACCACAGGGGGTTCCCCTTGGCTGCGGCTGTGCTTGCGTGAGCAGGACTGGCATGCTCAAGCAGCTGCCCGCCAGGCTCAGTCCAGCTCCCGCAGTCCGCAGTCCTGCCTGAGCCAGCCACTGAGATCTCCAGCTGTGCTGCGCGCTGCTCTGTGTCGGGCTGGCCAGGTTGCATGGGCAGGCTGGTCTCTCTTTTCCTTCCGAGGCGGGGGAATGGACA